TTAATACATAAGAAACGAATAAACGCTGAACATAATTTGTTAAATAACAATAAAAACAAAAATAATAATTCATTTTGCGCATCTCTTTTCACCAGTAAACATATTACTCATTACAATAAGGATAATAATTTAAGTAGTTCGAAATCATTAGATAAAAATAAGCTAAATCAACAACAAGTTAACAAAACTTACGAAAATAATCAAAATAATACAAACTTAAATAAGCTAAATAATCAATTAGAATTTAAAAATTTTTTTAGCAACTATCTAGCATATACTGAAGAAAATTTGAGTGAAACAATCAATATAGGATATGAATTCGGAAAGATAGCCGAAGAAAGATGTAAGAAAATAGTAAAAACGCATTATTTGAGCAAAAGCTTTGACTATAAAAAAGCACCTTCATATCAGATGACTATTAGGGTTACAGATACAACACCATTTCATTGCTCACCTAGGCGCTTATCATATTACGAAAAAGAAAAAGTAGCTGATATAATCAATGATCTCCTGGAGAAAAATATAATTAGACATAGTAAATCTCCATATGCATCTCCTATAGTATTGGTAAAAAAGAAGTCAGGCGAAACCAGAATGTGCGTAGATTATAGAGGACTCAACAAGAGAATAATTAAAGATAATTTCCCGTTACCGTTAATTGAAGATTGCTTAGAGTACCTAGAAGGTAAATTATGCTTTACCATAATTGATTTTAAAAGTGGATTCCACCAGATAGGAGTAGATTTACATAGTGTCCCATATACCTCATTTGTAACTCCTCATGGGCAATATGAATATTTGCGAATGCCATTTGGCTTAAAAAATGGATCAGCCATTTTTCAAAGATTTATTACAGAATCTGCTAGTACAGCAGATTTTGTTCAAAATAAGCATATAGTTGTATATATGGATGACATAGTAGTAGCAACAAAAACCGTAGAGGAGCACTTCGAAATTCTAGAGAAGCTATTAGATCGTATTAGTGAAAACAACTTAGAAATTAACCTAAAGAAATGTGAATTTTTAAAACCTGAATGTGAATTTCTTGGCTATAAAATCAACCGTAGTGGAATAACACCTAGTGAAGCGCACCTTGATGCATTAAAAAATTTCCCTATACCGCATAGTTTGAATACCCTTCATTCATGTTTGGGATTTTTCTCATATTTTAGGCGTTTTGTGCTATCCTTTGCAAAAATAGCGAAACCATTAACAGATTTATTAAAACAAGGAGGACCATTTCCTCTTAATGAAGAGCAGTTGAAAGCTTTTAGGTCGTTGAGAACAATTTTATCAAATCCACCAGTATTAGCCATATTTAACCCTAAACGTGAGACTGAACTTCACACAGACGCTAGTTCACATGGCTTTGGCGCCGTCCTTATGCAAAGACAAGATGATGGCAAGATGCATCCAGTGTCATTCTATTCAGGTAAAACCAACGCAGCCGAGTCTAGGTATCATAGTTTTGAGCTTGAAACCCTAGCGATTATCAATGCATTACGTAGATTCAGAGTGTATTTAGAGCATAGGCATTTTAAGATAGTGACAGATTGTAATTCATTAGTGCAAACGTTGAGTAGGAAAGCCATAAACCCTAAGATAGCGAGATGGTCATTGGAATTGGAAAACTATGATTATTCCATAGTTCATAGACCTGGTGTTAATATGCCTCATGTTGATGCTTTGAGTAGGCAAGTTCAAATTTTAGATGCACTTAGAGAAAATAATGAGAATACCATAGAGCCCCTTATGAAAGCCGTAGAGTATAGAGAAAGTAGTGAAAATGTCATAGAGCACCCTTGGAGATCCGTAGAGAATAGAGAAAATGTTAATAAAATTAAAGAAAATAGTAATAGTAGTAGAGCTGAATTGATTATTGAGGATACTACAGAAAGCGTAGAGAAATTCGTAGGGGATAGTAGGAAATTAAGGAGCAGAATAGGAAATATAGAGAAACACTTAGCAGATACAAAACCTAGGAGAATTATAAAACCTTCAGAAGATAGAGATGAGATTCAACTAGAGACATTAAAAGATAGTAATAATTTTTGCATAGAGGATAGTAAAGACAGCTGGGGTGGGGAGTTAGATCAATTAGAGTTTCGAGAAAAATCCATATTAGAGTCGATTAAAATAGTAGGAGTAGTAGGAGCAACACCTAGAGATATTGATTTGATATTGCAAACTGAACAAATGCGTGACCCTGAAATAATTAAGATAAGAACAGCCGTAGAGGAAGGAAGTTGTACTTCATTTGAATTACTAGATGGTGTTATTTACAAAAAGAATAGTGACGAATCCTTATGCCTTTATGCTCCGAGTTGTATGGAGGAACAAATAATTAGGTTATCCCATGAGAAACTAGGCCACCTAGCCGCTGAAAAATGTATAAATGATTTGAAAAGAAATTATTGGTTCCCAGCTATGAAAAGCAAAGTAGGACATTTTATAAGAAATTGTTTACCGTGTATTTTGCACTCAGTGCCAAAAACCATTCATAATCGCACACTTCATAGTATTCCAAAACCTTGCATACCTTTCCATACTCTGCACATAGATCACCTAGGACCCTTACCAAGCATACAATCAAAAAGAAAACACCTCCTTGTTGTTATAGATTCATTTACAAAATTTGTTAAACTTTTCCCAGTAAACAGCACTAGTACTCGTGAAGCAAAAGACGCACTTAGTAGGTATTTTGAGTTCTATAGCCGCCCTAAGCGAATTATTTCCGATAGAGGATCTTGTTTTACCTCCCTAGAGTTTTCAACTTTCCTTCATGAACGCGATATAGAGCATATAAAAGTGGCCACAGGAGCACCTCAAGCCAATGGACAAGTAGAGAGAGTGAATAGGATATTAACCCCTATGTTAGGTAAATTAGCTGAACCAATAGAGCAAGCAGATTGGTATAAACTGTTAAATAAAGTGGAATTTGCTATTAATAATTCCATTCATAGTAGCACGCAAAAATCACCTAGTATGTTATTGTTTGGTGTCATTCAGAAAGGCCCCATAGTAGATGAATTATCTGAGTACATTGAAGACAAGTTTAATTTAGAGCAAGAAGACTTAGAGACTATCCGTTTGGATGCTAATAGGAATATTATACGATCACAATATAAAAATGAGCAATATTATGCAAAGAAACATAAAGCCCCTTTGGAATATAAAGTTGGAGATTTTGTAGCCATACGTAATGTTGATACAACACCTGGAATTAATAAGAAATTCGCACCTAAGTATCGCGGACCTTATAAAGTAAATAGAGTATTTGATAACGACCGTTATGAAATTGTTGATGTAGATGATTGTCAATTAACACAATTACCTTTTAAAAGTGTATTAGAACCTGCAAGACTAAAACATTGGACAAATGTATTAAGTGATACTGTAGCGTTATTATTGTAGATCGAGGTCGATCTTTTTATCAGGTTGGCCGAATGTAAACCTTGTATAAATATGTAATACTAAATAGCATAAATATCGATATCTGTATAGTATCTAAGAACAAACGATAGTGGTAATCGAAATATCATGTGGTGTAAATAGTAAAATAAGGGTACGGTCACTTTGATCGAGAAGAACAAGAAGAAAGGACGTAATTTAAATAAAGAGCTAAAATTGTTATACTTTCTTGTTTTGTATTTAATTTTAATCAGATTCGCACGCGACAGTTGGTTTCATAATTTTTATTACATTTACTTTTCATTTTATATTTAATAAGAATGCATAACATGATATATAACAGATTTTATTGAATCATATATATTTATTTTCATAACCAAAATTTGTTAACATAATATTATAAATCCCAAATAGTCAAGAAAAACAAGTAAATCTATCTTACAAATGTATAAACAATGAACACTAAATTACATTACTCTAGAATATGATTATAAATTTCAAAAACTTTTAATCTACTACAATATGCAGTCCTAGCTGCTTCGACCTTTAGGCCATCACAACGAAATGAGAGAAATTGTGAAATGCCTGGAATGCTTCTCACATTCTCCCATTTCTCCTGTAACTTGTAATTATTAATTAAAGTTGTAATTTCAGCAGACGACATAAAAAAAATCTTAACTCCATTTATATTGCTTTCAGCACAATTAAAGAATTCCAGTGCATTGGTTATGACGAGGTTTCTTGATTTCGTTAACTGCCAAACTTTTCTTTTGATGACGGCTCCAACTCCATCCACGGCTCCCTTTCCATGAGAACTGGCAAAGAAATTCCACTCAATGTTTTTGCACCCAATTTGTTGATCAATATCAGTCAAGCTAGTTAAAATATATTTATTTTTAAATTGTGCGCAGCAGCCATCAGAAAAGATGGAAATATTTGAAAATTGCCCATACATTTAGGTGATTTCCGTTAGCATACTTAAAACAAACACAAAAACGTCCTCTTTATTATGTGTAAGTTTGTCTCTTATAACCGCAAAAGACTGTGAAGCACCAGCCAACCAAGCAACACAGGTAAAAATGGTTACTTGCCGGTAACTAAAATGAGCACTTTGAGCTTCATTTTGGTGTGTTAACCTATAATTTTCTGCAAAGTCTATTTGCAGAATTAATTCAGAAGGCTTCAAATTCTTTAAATTTTTGATGCATTTTTTACAATTATTTTTCATTTAGAATATTGCACCAAATAGATTTAAGGAAAGTTTCAATATTTTGTGGGAATGATGGTATAACTTTTGTGCAGCTTTTCAAAAGAAACCTAACATTTGCATGATGCATGCAAACACACATGTTGTGCGGCAATTTATTAGTGAGCTGCACATGACGAGGTCGCATTTAAAAAAAATGGATTTGCTTACTTTTTCATTTGGAAACTCCTTTTTAAATAAGCTATATGTTTTTGTTACGGTGAATAACATAAAACGTTTCGCTTTTACTTGACCGTCAATTATAAGCGTATCTTTCTTTCCAGCAGCTTGTACGCTAATATTTTCATTTTCATAAAACTGTCTTATAACATTGTCTTGTTTTTCAGAGAAAGTTGTCTCGTTCATGTCTATGTTTTGATATATATTTATTATACAAAACTTCAAGCACCTTGAGCCTCCTGTCCATATCCTTTGGCAACACAGCTTCCACTTTCTTCATAGCCTTTGCTAATGTTTGCTTACATTGGTATGGCCGAAGACAATAGAGCTTATTAATTAATTGTACTTATTGTCTTTGGTATGGCTCATTTTGGCTTTGACGAGTTCTTTCGTCGACAAACCGTTTTTGGCGCAACTCTCTTTGCCTTATGCGGTTATATTTCCGTCTCTCTTCAATAATTTTTTCATTCCCTTCAGCCTGAGTTCTCAATATTCTTCTCAAATTTCGCATCCTTTCGTTATTTTTTAATTTATGATCTCGCAATTTGTCCTCATCAGCCTTTACTTTTTCTCTCCACCGTTTGCAGTTTAATTTACTTCTTTCTCCGATTTTTTCACCCATCTACATTAAAAATTTTTTTTTTGTATTTACATTAATATAAAAAGAAAAATTTATTAGAAAAACATTTTTGTTGAATTTACATGGTTACACTTACGATGTCGCACGCTACACACTTTTATTGATGTCCAAAAGAAAACCAATTAAATTTGTTGATCAAAGTTAACTTTTCTTGAATTGTGCACAAAAAATGGATTTGGGTGTGTGAAGGGATGGCTTTTCCGAGTGGTGGAGTAATATTTATTGGATATGTTAAGGGGTTTTAACAGGATGAACTTATAAACTTATATTCTGCGTAATTAAACCGGACCGCGTCCGCTTGGTTCTTTTGTTGCTCTTCTTCTCTCGTACTGTCGCTATCGGTATCGTATAGTATCGCCTCGTCTAACTATCGCTTATTACTATAGCTATCGTATCGTTTGTATCCAGGGCAACAACCAGCCCGTTACATTCGGCCTCTCCTGACATCGTAGCGTCCTCGCGAGATTATTGGTCTGATTCGTCGTCTTCGCCGTCATCTTCATCTGGCTCATCGGGTGGAAGTTCGCACCAGCGCTTCATCTTATCAGATGAATATACTGACTTGTAGTGTCTCTGCTTTCGTTGTGCGTGTGGGATATCTTCAATTAGATATCGGTCGTTGGGCAGCACCTTGGATACGATAAAAGGACCTTTGTAGCGCGGCTCTAATTTGAGCGATGTGCCCGTGCTAAACGGATCGTTCTCCACCAAAACAATGTCTCCGGTGCTATAAACTGTTGGCTTCGAATGGCTGGCATCATATCGTCTCTTGGCGGCGGCTCTGTAGTCGTTAACTGTGGTCGCAGCGTCAGCTCGGAGCTTCTCCAACTCGACGTCTGTCATCATGCTCGTGTCTTGATTTTGGATCACGCTCGTCAGCGTGTTCTTAAGGACATCTCGGGGCTCGTAACCATATAATAGCTGAAATGGGGAACATTTAGTAGTGCTGTTTACCATGGTGTTGATGCTCCACTGGATTGATCGCATCTTCTCATCCCAGCGTTTTTCGTTCTCGTTTGAGGGCAATAGCATTGACAAGATAATTCGGTTTGTCCGTTCTGCGTGACCATTGGCTCTTGGGGTTCTGACAGCGTTAAGGATGTGCTTCACATTGTTTGATTTGCAGTACTTCTCAAAATCTTTGGAGGTGAAAGCGGTACCTCGATCGGTGACGATTCTCTCTGGCATTCCCACGTAGCTGGTGACTTCTTGCAGGGAATCAATGACGTGTTTAGTTGCTGTACTTTTTACTGCTCGAACTATGGTGAACTTGGTGAAAGCGTCGACAAGTACGAGGATATGTTCATTTCGCTTTGAACTCTTCGGAAAAGGTCCCAGATGATCCATGTGTACGGTGGAAAAGGGAATCGGCTTGATGTCATCATAGTGGTACTGACCTTCGTGTCGTCCACCTGGTATTTTATACATAGCGCAGCCTACACAGGACTTTATGTAGCTTTTAACGAAGTTACGCATTCGGGGAAACCAAAACAAATTCATGATTCTGCTGATGGTTTTATCTGTGCTCATGTGTCCGGCTTTATCGTGGCACTCGTGTAGAATATGGAATCTCAGCTGCTTCGGCACAACCCATAGCAGTTTGTTGTCATGTTTGCGAAACAGGCGATCTTGCTCGATCACATACTCGTCGTTTTCCGATTTCTTTTCGGTTTTCATATCAGCAACAATTTTCTGTATCTTCTCATCTTGAAGTTGTATAGCAAACAACCAGTCAGCTTCGTCAATAATTGTTTTTGAGATCTTTAGGGATGCTGTATTCATCTCGTGTGCGTCTTCAAATGGCGCTCTACTTAGCGTGTCAACGTGACTCATCTGTGTTCCTGCTCGATGAACGATGTCGATGTCAAACTCTTGGATTCGTAACCACCATCTTGCAACTCGGGTTATCAGCTCGCGTTTTTCCATAGACGTCTTCAAAGCGTTGCAATCGGTGACAACCTTTATCTTCTTGCCATAAATGTAGTATTTGAATCGCTCCAAGGACTCGACAACGGCTAAAGCTTCTAATTCGTAGCTGTGATAGTTTTTCTCTGGTTTGGAAGTGGCTCTGCTATAGTATGCGATTGGCTTCAGTTGATCCTCATCTCTCTGCATCAAAACTCCTACTAATCCAACGGCGCTCGCATCTGTATGGACTTCGTGTTCAGCATCTAAACGGTAGCTAGTAACAACAGGTTTCGACGTAAGGCATCTCCTTAGTTCTTGAAAAGCATCTTCTTGTGGCTGTTCCCATTTGAATTGTTGGTCTTTGCGCAAAAGGATTCGCAGTGGTTCTGATATTATCGCATATCCGGCTACAAATTTCCGGAAATAACCAGTAAGACCCAAAAACTGTCGCACTTCGGTTACATTATTTGGCTTTTCAAATTCTGCAATGGCATTAGTCTTGACTTCTCCGGGGCTGATTGCATCAGTGTGTATTTGATGACCTAATAATGTGATTGACTGTTTATACAACTCACATTTGTCGACGTTCAAAGTTAATCCGCATTCTCTCAATACTCGTAGAACTCTCTCTAGCTTCTCGTACATCTCGTCAAACGTTTGGCTGCCAATTAGGATGTCATCCATGTAGTGCATCATGTCGCCTTTCTGCACACGCCTCTGCAGCTCTGCCATGAGTCTATTGAATACAGCAGGTGCATTCTTTAGCCCAAACGGAAGACGTTTGAACTCGTACATTCCATCCGTGGTGATAAATGCAGTGAATTTTCTGCTTTCGGGTTCCATTTCGATCTGATAATAGCCGCTATTCAAATCTAACGACGAAAAGTATCTAAAGCGCTTCGCTTCCTGCAGCCTCTCCTCAATGTTTGGTACTGGAAAGTTCTCCTTTCTGATCAGCTTGTTCAGACGACGGTAATCGATACAAATTCGATCACTTCCGTTCGGTTTCTTGATGAGCACCACCGGGCTAGCGTACTCTGATGTGGATGGAGTGATGATGTCTAGTTTCAAAAGTTCGTCGACCATTTTGCCGACAACTTCCTTCTTCGGCTCGGAAACTCGATAGGGCGCTTGGGAAACCACTTGGTTACCCTCAACAACGATCTTTGCCTGGACGATGTTTGTCTTGCCAATGCCTTGCAATCCTGTGGAGAAAACGTCAGCAAACTTCTCCAACAGACTACGAACTTGCTCTTTTTCGGAATCGATCTGGAAATTAACAAGAAGCTTGTGAAAAATACTCTCGGTTGAAAGTGTTAACGGCTGATGAACTGCTCTCTTGACTTCTGACTCGTCTGGCTCGAACTTTAACAATAATTCAGCGCAGGTGATCACATCTTGTCCCAATAATAGGTCTTCCTGTAGTAGATTGTCTTCTTCGATGTAAACTTTGGCTATTACGACTTTTCCAGCGATGTCGATGTCCACAACAACGGCTTCAGTAAGGATTCGTGAGCCCCCACAAATGCCCACAATTTTCATAGCACAAGTCTGGCGATCTGCGTCGATCTCGTCAGCATCTGATTGGCGAATGATACTCGCTTGGCTTCCAGTGTCAATGAATGCGTTATACCCTTGCTCGTTGATATATACTTTTCTTGTGAACAGCTTGTCATGATTTGATGCACCCAAACGCATCACCTGTGCGACGTTGCAGCTTTCATTGGTGGCATGAAAAGTATTACATTTGGAACAGCGCGTCTTCTTTCTCTCCTTTGGGCACGAATTAGCAAAATGCCCAAGATCTCCGCAATTGTAGCACGCTTTAGCTTCTTTTGGCTTCGTTTGCTTCATCTCATTCTCCAGCTTTCCCTCAAAATTACTGGATTTGGATACGTATTCTTTCTTATTTGCAATCGGTCGACCTCTGTTTAGAAAATATGATTCAGCCGCATCTCGAAACTCCTTCATCGACGAAAAATGAATGGCTGCGATACTGTTTTGCAACTCTCTGTGCTGTAGACCTGCTCGAACATAACGAATCACTGCTGCTTCACTAAGCTTGAACCGTACTCCAAGTGCTGACATCCGGAAACAATACTCCTTTACGGTTTCCTTCGATCGTCTGGTTGCATTTTCCATGTTGAAATGGATTTCTGCCTTGTCTGGTTCTGCTCCGAACTCTTCTCGGATAGCTGCTGCAAAACTATTCCATGTTGTGTGTAGAACCTGGGAAGAATCGAACCACATTTTGGCTGGACCCTTCAGCTTCGTGTAGATAGCTAAAAGCACAAATTTTTCGTCCCATTGATACGCACCAACCACCTTGTTGACACGATCGATGAATTGGTTTACTGAGATGGAATTTTCATCTCCGGGATCATATTCTGGTAAGGTATTTGCAATTTCCTTCACCGACGCTTGTCTAAAGTTGTTCGCTGCCTGCTCTCCAGGGTTAGAATCGTTCCTCTCGTCTACGTTGACTTCTTGCACGCGTTGCTGCTGCTGCTGTTGCTGATTAGCTGTTGGCATATTGTTGACCAACTGCGTCATCATGGTTGTCAGTGTCTTCATCTGTTCTTGTATTTGTGAAATCGCAGCTCCCTGTGCTGCGAGTGTTTCTTTATGCTGGTTCATGATTCCAGCCGCTTGTGGCATATCCACGTCTTCGGAATCTTCGTGATCCACTAGTCTCTGCACTAGTTCTGCTCTGGAGCCCGCAACTCCTAAGTTCCTCTCTCTCAACAGGTACCGCAACTGGTCTGCCTTGAGCTCTGCTATCTTGACCATCTTCTCCAAAAATGATCGCAATTCTTGTCAAAGTTTGTCTGTTTTCCTAGCACGCACAACCACATTCGTTTGCACGCACAATCTTGTACCCACGAGCAACTCTTTTTGCCCGTCTGCAAGCGAGATCGCTATTTCACCACTCGTGAAATTCACCTCCTTTGAATTTCACAACGACGCTACGCACACATACAAGCCCTTTGTATGATTTCACAACGACGCTCCGCATACACACACAAGCTTTTTGCATGTCTCTCTTCAGGTTCACCAAGACTCCTGAGTACTCC